GGTGGGAGGCAGTGTGGTGCAAGAGATAACTCCTCACTCTTCAGTCATGGGACACGGGTTCAGATCCCGCTTCTGATATCTATCCTACCTGTGTGACCTTGGGCCTCAATTTCCTCCTATGAGAAATGAAAGGGCTGGTCAAGATTAATCAGCCCATAAGCATTTATTAAGCACCTGCTGTATGCCAAGCACTGTGCTACATGCTAAGGATACAAAGAAAGGGAAGAATAGTCCCTGCCCAAAAGGGGCTTCTACTCTAATGGGGGAATGTGTATAGATGTATATCTCTGTGTGTGAAATATGTGTATATGTGATATGTGTGTACATTTTTCTACATGTATGTATATATGAACCAGACCATACACAATAAATATAAAGTAGGGGGAGGTAACATTAGGGGGTTAGCACTTAGAGCCGAGGGTGTCAGTGGGTCTCTTTCAGCCCTGGATCTATAATCTCCCCATCAACGCAGATGTTCAGGATGGGCATGAGCTCTAGACCCATGATTTTGTTCATATAGGGAATGCTTGGAAGAGGAAATTCAATCCACCAGTACAGGCTGGCCCCTTCTCTGCAGTCTACAGCCTAGAGCCCCGAGAAGGTCAATGATGTGCCCAGGACCATACAGCCAGGAGGGGTCAGAGGTGGGGCTTGACCTCGAAGGTCAGCTTCCTAGCTAGATGTTGTAGAGATACACTTCAAAGAGGCTCCCCAAATAACGACCTATGAGGGCAGAGGGGCAGGGAAAACTTGAGGATTCTTCAGAGGACTAAGCTATCCCTGAATTCTGTCTCCAGAGCCAGCCATACCCACATGAATAAATCAGTTTATCTCTGTTTCATCCACATCTCGCTTTGCTTGAGAGCCTCAAAAATGTTCGGGAGGAATAAAGGCTCAGCCCCTCTAAGCAATAAAATAACAGCGGCAACCCCCAGGTGGTTAGAACCACTTGGGAGCTGAGGGCAGACAGTTCTAGCCAATGCCTCAGTTTTAGACAGCCGTTCAAGGCTCCTCAGAAAGATAGAGAGAAGGGAAAGAGAAGCCGCGGGTTTACTCCACCAAAAGAAAGGTCTTAGTCTGGAAGAGCCGGACAGAGGTGCTGGATTTCATGGGCCAGAAACAGAGAGGCCCAGAGGATGTAATTAACTGTGTTCCTCACAATTCCAAATGGTAACTCAGGACAAGGTGAAAAGATGTGGGGAGGAGGAGAGAGCCCGGCACAACCCACACATGGGAGAGGGACAAACAAGTATATTTAGAAAGGCAGACCTTATAACAAGGCATGCTAATTGCTACTTGGGAAGGCTTTTTTTGTTGTTGTTTCTTTTAAGCTATGTTCTACTTGAGGTGTTTCCCTGTTTATAAGTAGAAAACTCCTCAACTTTGGTTGTAGTAGCTAAAAAAAAAAACCTTTTAAAACAAAATAAGAAACAAAAAAACTCTCTTAGGTTGCAATCAGACGTCTTGTTGAAGCTCTGCTTTTCCATATATATTTGTTTATCTTTCTGCCATCTATGGTCTACACTCCAGGCCCTTTCTGTGGTTTCTGGCCACAGCTTTTCACCTTGTACTCGGCTATTTGGCATTTAAAGGAGGGGGGTAATTGGTTCCTTGAGGCCTCTCTGAGGTGCTGTGTCCTGACCTGGTCAGGAAGCCACACCTGCCAGAAGGCTGGGTGCTGCACCCTTTGGACCCTCAGGAGCTGCTGGCAGACCCTGGAAGGGCAGACCCATGGGGGACTCAGCTGTCCTCTCTCAGGGTACCCTTACACCTACTTCTAACTCAGAGACAGAAAGGTCCCATCTAGACAGCTGCACATTTGTGGCACAATAGAAATTCTAATGAGAGTCAGGAGACCTGGGCTCAAGCCCCACCTTGGACACTTACTAGCAGGGCGACTTTGGGTTAGTCACTTCACAGAATCACAGAACTTGAGAGCTCAAAGGGGTCTCGACAGATGCCTGGTCCAATCCACTCATGAAGAGAATTCGCACTAGAACATGCCCGACAAGTAGTCACCCAACCTCCTCTCAATGACCTCCAGACACAGAAGACCTCCCGCCACCTCTCCAGGCAGGCCCTTCTCCTTTGAGGTAGTGCTCACTCTTAGCGACTTTTTCCCCACATTGTCCTCAAGTGGTGTCTTTGCAACTTCTACCCAAAGAGAGCACATCTGATCCCTCCTGGATATGACAAGCCCTTCAGACACTGCAAGATAGTTCTCACATTCTCCCTCTTTTCTTTTCTAGGCTAGACAGGGTCCTGCTGGGTGGAGGAGGGAAGCAAAGGCTTGGGGCACACATGAGGAAGCATACCATACCCCAACAAGAGTAGCAGCAACCATCCCACACTCCCAGAAAGGAAAGGAGGTGCAGGGAACAAGAGAGCACAGACCTCCCCAGGTGAATGAATGTTAGAGGATATTTTTGCTCCAGACCTGGGATGATAGCTGTCAAAGGAACTCACAGTGTGGAAACTCCTTTCATAGAACCAGATCAGCAGTGATTCTGTAGCTCATAGTCTGAGGGGTTAAGTGACTTGCCCAGCATCACACAATTCAATATGAGTCCTAGGTGGAATGAGATATCCACCCGCAATGCCCCCATTACTTCTCCAAGTGAGAGGCAGCGAGGGGACCCAGTGGGTAGAGGGCTAGACCTGGAGTCAAATCCAGATTCAGACATCTACCAACTCAGTGTGACCCTGGGCAAGTCACTTAACTGCTCTGTGCCTCAATCTTCTCATCTGTAAAATGGGGGTGATGATAGCACCTACCTCCTCCCAAGGATGCTATAAGGATCAAATTAGATCATATTTGTAAAGTGGTTCACAACACTTTAAGGATTGATGATGCCAGTGATGACAGAGGCAGTTTTATGATCCTATGCTTTTAATGAATACTTTAAGGTCTGAAAAGCACTTTAAAATCATTATAATAAAGGTTTGTTGAATGAATAAATTTTACTTTATCCATACAACTCCAGAGGGTTAGCATTATAAATCTTATTGCCCCATTTTGCAGATGAAGATACTGAGGGCTGGAGAAGAGGTTGCACAACTGGCAAAGCCCACTGAACAACCATGTCTCTCTTGTCTTCCAAGGCATTCCTCCTTCTTTTGGGCTGCTGTGATGATTTTCCCCGTACGTGCTGTCCCGGTATGGCCCCCGACCTCTCATGCCCACATCTGTTTCCCATCTGTCCTCTTTCATACTTGTCATAGCAGAGCAATTATGTGGCTAATGGCTTCAGAATTAATCAACCTATTGACATTAAAGACTGAGGTTCCCATTAGAGGAGCAATTCAAAACTCCCAATTAGCTGCGTTGATTCAAACTCAGGCAAACATAATTAGAAACAGGATATGGTGCAGGGGTGGAGTGCAGGGAGCGGTGACTATGGGATCTGGATGGAAAGAGTAGTGAATGTGATGATGGCAACAGCGGTGGTGGGAGTGGTGACGATGACGATAAATGAATTGTGGTCACGGGGCTGAGGACGACAATGGTGATCTTGGCTACAACGATGAAGGTGATCATGGGGACGAGGGTAATAATGGTAGCAAGGGCTATAAGGATAATGGTAATGACGATGGCAGCAGCGATGGTGGTGGTCATGAGTGTGGTGAGAGTAATCACAGAACCTCCTTCTGCATCTCTTCCTGAGCTTACTCTTCAATGAGCCCCGATTCCTTCCTTGGTCTCAGATTTGGAAGGGACCTCAGATGCCATCTAGTTCAAACCGTATTTGAAAATGAAGCCTCACTATGACACACCAGACAAATGCTCCTCCACTCTCTGCTTGAATACCTCCCTGAAGGGGAGCCTCACTGTCTTCCAGAGCAACCCGTTCCACTTTGGGACAGCAATAATTGTTAGAATGTTGTTTTTTCCTGACACGGAGCCTGTGGGGCTAAGCAGACTAAGGCTGATCCCTTTCCCACAATACATGCCTTCAAACACCTGAAGGTAACAATTATGTCAATCAATCAGTTGGCATTTATGAGGCATCTACTCTGTGCCAGGCACCGGGGATATGAAGACAGAAATGAAGCAGTCCTTGACCTCAAGGGGCTTCCGTTCTATTGGAGGAGACAACATATGGACATATGTGTAAAAATTGGGCATAAGTATAGAATAGATGGACATATGGACATAAGTATAAAAAAAAATAAGGACAAAGTTAATTGGGGGAAGGTGGGGGCATTAGTACCTGGTAAGGGGTTGTCATGGAAACTCAACACACAGAAAACTCAGCCAAGCATCCCATAGGCCAAACTTTCAGTCTCTGCCCCAGCTCCCAACCCTGACAGCCCAGTGACACATTTACAAAGCGATCACCTCTCTGACTTATTATGGCCCCATTTGGGGTCTTCTTGGCAAAGATACTAGAGTGGTTTGTTGGTTCCTTTTTCAGCTTATTTTGCAGATGAGGAAACTGAGGCAAACAGGGTGAAGTGACTTGCTCAGGGTCACACAGCTAGTAAGTGTCTGAGTCTGGATTTGAACTCAGGAAGAAAAGACTTTCTGACTCCGGACCCAGCACTCTATGCACTATGGTGCCACCTAGCTGCCCATCAGAACACTGGGCCTCTCTAAGTTCCCATGAGCTCTTTTGGCTGCTAACTCATGTTGAGCTTGTGGTCCACTAAAACCTCCAGATCTCTTTCATAAAATTTGCTATCTGGAAATGCCACCCCCATTTTGTCCTTGTGAAGTTGATTTTTGAAATCCAAATGTACGACTTTACACTATTCCTAGTCAATTTCACCTTACGATTCATGCGTCTCTGTGGGTGTCCTGTTCTCCCTCATGATACCAAGAACTTCCTCCTCTTTGTACTAGGGGCTCCTGGGAGGACAGACTGTGCGGTCCCCATTAAATGGAGGCTCCCCGAGGGCATTTGTCTGCGTCTCCCTGATAGGTTCTAAGTTGGTCCTGGTGCCTTGGAAGGGGGTGGTGGAGATGCCAACAGTGACCTGGGGCCAGGAGCTGCTCTCACCTTCTTGGTGACCGTGCACATTTGCTCAGCAGGCACGTAGTCAAAGGGGAAGATGAACCGCCAGTTAAAATTGCCTTCTCCGCCCAGCGAGCGATAGTGAACATCCGTCTTTTGCTTGTGCTCCTCAAAGCCAAGCATCCAACTAGAGAGAGATAAGAAGAGACTTGGGATTTTGATAAGATAAACATTTCATCACGTCCTGGAGGGATGGGGAAGAAGGAAGGAGAGACGGGGCATAAACATTGCCCCTGCTACGTACAAGGACATCTCCTGTGCAGCAGCAAGGATGCCCCTCTTCCATCCAATGGAACACTACCGTCCTGGGCAAGGAGCAACGGATTTGGACACAGGGGACCTACATTTGAATTCCAGGTCTGCCATTTATCTTCTGACTTTGGGCAACTTTTTCACCTCTCTGAGCCTCAGTTTCCTCACCTGTAAAATGAGGAGGTTGGACTAAAAGAGACTTGAAGGTCCCTTCCAACTCTGAGTCTTATGATCCTATGAAGAACCTTTGTGCTAGTGTCTGGGGAATACAATGACAGGAATAGAAGGGTCCCTGCCCTCAGGCAGCTTCCATTCTTTTGATACCCTTTTATTCCGAATCAAGACCAACATCTTGGGTTTGGCTTTCTAAGCAGCCACCAGTCCACTTTACAGCATCTCATCCATGCAGCCTATATTTCTCCATTTTATTCCCCAAGGATGGATGGAGAGAGTTAGGGGGTCTTCTCCAAATGAGCTGGATTTGGGGTCAGTAGACCTGGGTTTGAATCCCACCTCAGATACTCATTGTGTGGGTGACCCATTAAGTCATTTAACATCTCCAATGTGCCTCAACTTCTCTCTCTGCAAAAAAATGAGGCAGCTGGACCCCAAGGTCCCTCCCAGCTCTGTCTTCCTCTATAATATAATATTGGTGAAAATAGATGTTGTTCGAAGGCTCTTTCAGTTCTGACATCTTATGTTCTGTCTTAACATTTTGTGTTCTAAGGGCCCTCCCAGCTCTGACATTCCCTGTTCTAAGCTCCCTCCCAGCTCTGACATTCCCTCTTCTAAGAGCCCTCCCAGCGCTTACATTCCCTGTTCTATAGACCCTCCCAGCTCTGACATTTTGTATTCTATGTTCTAACATTCCGTATTCCAAGGTTCCATCCAGCTCAGACCTTCTAAGCTCTATGTTCTAAGTTCTCTCCCAACTCTGAAATTCTAAGGTCTCTATTCTGACATTCAGTTCTGCCTTTCTAGGTTCTAGGTTCCCCATCCTACTCAGACTTTTGTGCTCCATGTCCCAGCTTTCTAAATTCTCAGCACCTTTCTGCTCTAAATTTGATGCTCTTGTATTTCAAAAGCCCTGCAGGGGAGGGTCTGCGTAAAGCAGATTCCCTTTTAAAAACTCATTCCCTCACCCACAACCATTGCATCTTTCACGTTAATAAGGGATTTCACATGGGAGATAGATTTGGAGTGGGGTGCACTGGCTGGGCCGCAGCGGGAGATTCCCTGCGGCTTCTTACTGACCCAGCAACACGGTCTGCAGGCTGAGGACACTGAACACGAGCAGAGCCTCAGGCAGGCGAGGGGGCTCCTCAGGGGGAAGAATTCTCCCCTGGCCCCCGGCAGAACAGAATGTGTCATAAATGGAAAAGTCGCGAACAGGAAGGGATAAGCCGCTGAATTTCTCAATTTCTTTGATTTCCTTCTCATTTTAGACTGTTCCCGACCTTCCTCATGAGAGGGATACTGAAAACTTGCAGAGAAAGACATTATTGGAGAGCTCCCTGAGGATAGGCTTGGGATCCTCCCCATCAAAGCAGGAGCTCCCTGAGGATGGGGCCGGGGTCGTCCCCATCAGACCAGGGGCTGAGGATGGGGCCAGTGTCTTCCCTATCAGAGCAGGGGTTTCCTGAGGGGAAGGGACTACAGCCTCTCACCTCCCTCATCACATTAGAGGCTCCCTAAGGTCAGGGGCTGTGTCTGCCCCTCACAGACAGTGGTCAGGATCCTCATTTATTCCAGCTGAGATTTTAGTGCATTATTTTCAGGTGACAAATGCCGAATGACCACAAATCCTCATTAGCTCATTTAAATCTTCTCTATGCAAGTCACAACTCCCAGGATCCTAAAACACCAGAGCTGGCCAACACATGAAAAATAATCCATCCAACCTGACACGGTGCAGATAAGGAAGCAGAGGACCAGAGAAGGCAGGGCGTGGCCGGGGGTTCCTCCAGGGTAAGCTCTGTCTCCCTCAAGAGCCCAGCATGTCTCCCACATTCACATGCACTCTCTTTGATGGCACAGACCACATTTTTGTTGTCCTTTGTACCCACATGGCTTGGCACAGTGCCTTGCATACAGGAGGCACTTAATAAATGCACATTCATGATGATGATGAAGGGAGCTACCATGAGACCACTGGGGTAATTCCTACCCTTTCACGTAGATGTCACTCATCTTCTCCCCAGTGATGCTGACGTCATCCAAGATAACATCTTTGGTGTTCCAAATAATACATCGCAGGAGAAACCTGGTCAGGAGAGGAAGATGCAGATTAACCCAGGTTCATTGCAGAAGAAAGGTGAGGGATCCCAAATGGGCTTGGGGAGCATGAAGCCCACAGTGGCCAGGGTCCTAGGTTTCATGACTCCCCAGGCACTCAACTTTTCACAGAAAAATGCTCTGACCCCAAATGCTGGCCAAAGACCAGCCCCTTCAGTCTGTCCATAGAGTGACTTCTTGCCATAGCCACAGAATTACTATCCCCACCCTCAAGATGACCCCTAACTCTGGCTCCCAATTAATTCCTGAACTGAAACAAAGAAAGCATTGGAAAGATGGCCCAACACCAAGACAGAGAACAGAAAGTCACCTCTTGGCTTTGCGGGGGGTAATTTTAAATGGAGGTCCAGGTGCTCCAAGAGCCTTTGGAAATAGGTCAATCCACATTTGCAGCTTTCCCTGCGGAGAGAGTTGACCGCATGAAATCAGAACGCCTCAGCAGCCCCTTCCTCCTTATTGCCTCACATCCTCTCTCTGCTCCCACTGGACCTCTGCATCCTGCTCTGTTCCAGCTTTCTACTGCCCCAGGGTTAACTTAATCCCCCAACCCCAACCACCCTGTCCCTGGAACCCCCATCAGTTCCTCCACACACACCCCGCTTTTCTCCAACACAGAGACAAATTCTCTAACAACAAAGGGCAGCTGGAGCAGAGGAAGAAAAAAACGGTCCCTGGGGTTAGTGAGCTCCCCTTCACAAGGCATGCTGTGTTGAGTCAAGAACCACAAAAATCCATTCAAAGCAACACTTTAAGACAAATAATGCCCTGGGATAGATCCCAGAGAGAGAGCTCCAAAATTGGAACTCAAGATTAAAGACCCCTTGGGGGAGAGACCCCAGGATCCCATCAGGCCCCTTCTGAGGAGCCCACTTGTTGGGGAGGAAGTGCAGAAGAGTGTGCCTGAGGTACTGAGTTCAGTGATTTCTACCCGGTGAAGGAACAAAGTGCTCATCTTCCCATCCTAGTTACATCCACGATTATTTCTGCCATTTATCCCCCTCACCCTTAATGGCCCTGCCTGGGCTACTTAACTCACTGGTTTGAGTTTGAGCTTGATCTCATAATGAGGTCAAGTCATGGGTTTGAATCCCTCCTGGCACCAATTAGTTTCACTGTCATAGCCCCTAATTCCAGCTAGAGACCAATCCCTGAATTCTGACCACAGACGCATACCCAACCCAATCTTGGTCAGTCAGGGACAGTAACATTGTGCCTTGCACACCAGAGATGCTCAATTAAAAAGTCATTGAAAGAATGGTGGAATGGTCTAGAAAGCAGAACCCATGGCATTGGCCTCTGCTATAAGCCAATGAGATTGACGTCAATGCCTGGGAAAATTGGTGATGGTTAGTGAACATACTTTCTCATGAAACCTTTCCTGATCCTTCCAATCCACAGAGAGGGTGCCCTCTCTCCCAAATTACCTTGTATTTAGTGGACCCCCTGGAATCTATCCACAGATCCCAAATGGGTCCATGGAACTCCTAGACTAAGTGATCTCTAAGATCCCCATCCAGCTGTCAACCCTACAGCCAATGGATTCTGTTGGTCCTGTGTTCCCGTGTTTCCTCTGCGTCTTCAGTCTCCATAACTATTCTCCAAGCTCCCTAAGGGCAGACACCATTCTCTTACAGAGCCTGGCGGAGGGCTGGACACACAGGAAATGCTCAAGAGAGACTAGAAGGTGAGAAGGGAGATGCAACGCCAAGCCAAGATGTATTCTGGAAGGACGGAGGCTGAGATCCCAGAAGGTGACGATCATAAGATCTCAGCTGCATGGGACTTCAAGGGGCATTGAGTCCAAAGCTTTCATTGAACAGATGAAGTCTAGAGAAGAACAAGTCCAGAGACCTGCCCCAGGGTCACACAGCTAGTAATTAGCAGCGCGGGACCAGCCCCACTCTCTTTACCTCCACCCCCTCCTCCGATGCTAGAAGAGGACCACTGGGACAAAGACCAAGGCTGTCCTTCTTTCCCCAGTGGAGGACCCCTGGAATCTCTGCTTTCCCCACCTCTGACAGGAGGGCTTTTTGCCTCATCTTGCCAGGCCCCAGGCCTCCACTACTTCCTGGTCCTCATCATCCCCTACTTGAGCATCCTCTGTTTTTATAGACTGTTGTCCCCTAACAAAATGTAAACTGTCATGTTTGTCTTTGTACCCATAATGACTAGAGGAGTGTCTCATATACAGTTGGTACTTAATAAATGCATGTTCTCTGCCCAGAAACAGAATCAGGAAGGACTGGGAGAAAGCCCCCAAAGGTTGTAACCCTCATGGGTCACTAAGAGGAGGTTCAGAGAGTTGGGAGCCTTTCTGGTCCATAAGGACAGCATGGGTGAGAGTGACCCTGGGCCAACCTCAGGGCAGATCCCAGGGGACACACCGTGAACCTTCCCTGCTGTGTGCCTGGGCTTTGGTCACTGGGGAGCGTGCCGCTGGTCCTACCTGCTCAATGTCTGGCTGCAGAGGGTTGTAGAGGGACCGGCTCTCCACATGCTCAGGGACGAGGCCCTGCTGCCTCAGGACAGCCAGTGCCAGCTGCTCCTCCACTGGACCCAGGTGAGGATTCGCCATCTTGCCATTCTCTGAGCCAAAAAGAGAAGACCAAAAACCCCAGGATGGGGTTGGCAAGGAGCCGGGACAGCTTGGACACCCACAGAGTAGCTGGCTGCCTGCTGTCTCGGTCCAGACTACCAACGGTTCTGCTTGGCGGCTTCTTCAGGACCCAAGACGTTGCGTGAAAGAGTAGCCAAACCTTCCCCACCCCGAGCCTGACACAGTGCCTGAAACTCCACCATCAGAGCTGGCTCACTAGGGTCGAACACTGCCCTTTGAGGGCTTCACCTTCCAAGCACAAACGGCCTTCTGGCTTTGTTCCCCTCCCCCTTTGCAGTTCCATCCTTCCAGGCATCATTTAAGTTCTTCCCCCATGGAGCCCTCCCTGCCCATAGAGCTTTGGACCTGGCAAAGACCTCAGTCATCACCCCAGTCCAAAACCCTTCTTTTTTTCAGATGAGCAAACTGAAGCCCAAAGAAAGTTAGGGACTCATTCATTCGTAGGGCAGCTAGGTGGTGCAGTGGATAGAGTGTGGAGCCTGGAGTCAGAAAGACTCATCTTCCTGAGTTCAAATCCAGTAGGACACTTAACAGCTGTGTGACCCTGGGCAAGTCACTTAACCCTGTTTGCCTCAGTTCCCTCCTCTGTAAAACGATCTGGAGAAGGAAATGCAAACCACTCCAGTATCTCTGTCAAGAAAACCCCAAATGGGGGGCAGCTAGGTGGCACAGTGAACAGAGCACCAGCCCTGGAGTCAGGAGGACCTGAGTTCAAATATGGCCTCAGACACTTGACACTTACTAGCTTTGTGGCTCTGGGCAAGTCATTTAACCTCATGGCCTAGACCCCAAATGGGATCACGAAGAGTCAAACAGGACTGAAACAACTCCACCACATTCATTTATGGTCACGGCTAATTAGTGGCAGCACCAAGACTTGAACTCTGATCCCCTGCTCCCTGGCAGGTGCTCTTTCCACTCCAGTCCAAAATGAGAGAGATCTTAGGGTCATCAAATACAATCTCTCCCTCCACACAGGATTATTACTTAAGTCATGAAGTGCTGGGAGATGATGCTAAGGAATGAGGCAAGGTCCTGGGCCTAGGACAGAGCTGAGACTCACTGATGTCTTCGAGGGTGACCTCTGTGTCCTGGAACACCACCCGGTCGTTGCGGTACACGGGGGCTTTGGCCTTGTTCTGCTGGCAGTATAGATGCAGGAGCTGAGTCGGGCGGAGCTGGTCTCTCCATCGATTCGGTCCCGAGCTAAGGCCCGAGAGGAGGCAACGTGAAGATATGCAGAGACAGGGCCCTGGGGCAGACTGGAAACACATCTACACAGACATTTCCAGCCACCCCCGTGTATGTGTGTGCTACATGTGGACTCTGCCCATAACACCCTTTAATGCTGACAGAGGGGCCCATGGAGATGCTATGGGCCACGGCAGCCTTGGGCACTTACACGCAGTAGGTCTGGGGGAGACCGCATCGTGCACCAAACTTGGACAGGAATCGGTTCTCCAGGTCGATGACCGTCTCCCCAATCTTCTCATCCTTAGAGAGGACATCATAATCATATAGCATGACCTTGAGGTCTTTCTCCAGTGGTAGGGTGCAGGTCAGTTCATACACCCTGCAGGGAAGAGAGCCTATCAGAGAAGGGTTGGACAAGATGGCACCTCCATCATCAGCCCACAGGAATGAAGGAATTTCTCCCTCCGCTGAAGGCCTTCAGCACTTACTGCTTGAACCACACACCAATCACCAAATTAGCCTCTACTCCATTTGGTTGGCATCTTATCGCCCTAAGTAGATTTGGAGTCCCTGAGGGCAAGGACCAAGTCCTCTCTTCTTGTCTCTCCTACAACATAGCCTTGTCCATGGCTAAGTACAGGCACTTGGTTATGGTTTAATATGTGAATAAATGAATGCATGCATAAACAAATGAATTTATGAATACATGAATGAACAAATGTATGAATGAATACAAGAATTAATGGATGAATTAATTGATGAGTGAGATGAACAAATGGGTAGATGGATGGGTAGATGGATGAGGGGATGGATGGATGGATGGATGGATGGATGGATGGATGGATGGATTGATGAGTGGATGGATGGATGGATGGACAGATGGATGGATGGATGGATGGATGGATGGATGGATGGATGGATGGATGGATGGATGAGTGGATGGATGGATTGATGAGTGGATGGATGGATGGACAGATGGATGCATGGATGGATGGATGGATGGATGGATGGGTGGGTGGAGGGATGGATAGATGAGGGCAGGAACTATCTCTTCCATCTGGGTTGGTGAATGAATGAATAACCAAGCTTCTATTCTGCTTTGGGAAAAGACATAGCTACAGTCTGTTGATGAATGGAAACAAGAGAAGCTCTTAGTAGAGTTATAACTAGGCAAGGGCAGCCAGAGCTTCACTCCTATGACACCAAAAGTTAGAGGCTACCAATAGCACTTGTAGCCCAGCAGAATAGAAGCAGCCACGCTCAGCACCAACCTCGCAAGAATAGTTTCATTTCTTAAAACTACCAGATTGCCCTTCTTCTAGGAGGTCCCCACAACCAGGATGGTCTCTTTGTGTCCCTCAATCTCTGTCACCACATATGGTGTTGTGCTGAGGTCTTCACACACACACACACACACACACACACACACACACACCAGAATTCGCCTTGAAAAGTTCTTTTGAAGGCATATTTTCTGTGGCTTTCCCTGACACAAAATTAGCCGGTGAGGAACCTGGCCCTTAGTCCCCCACTCTTTCCATGGCAATGAGCAGTTTATCTCCTCTCTGGGAGAGCTCCCTCTCCCCTGACTTCTCTCTCCTTCATGGAGACATGAGAAGACTCAACCATTCAATAGCATTCAAGGAGCACTGATAAAAGACCTCCTAGGTGCCAAATGCTGCACTAGGGGATACCCTAAGGAAATGGAGAGGAAATATAAGCACCTCAGCGGTGTCTCTCTGGCCCCCTCCCCTCCCCTGGTCCCCACCTGGAGCTTCCCCCATCCCTCTCCCCATTCCCAGCTCATCCCTCGTGGAGCCGGGCACTCTTCCCTCACCTTCCAAACACAGGCTCCAGAGTGCAGGGGATGTAGTTGTCCTGGTCATTCACTGATTTTTTCCCCGCAGAAATCTTGATGTAAGGGTCACACTAGGGGACAGAACCAATGAAAATAGCTGGGATGGGTTATCTAACACATCTTGAAAACTCCTCTTAGGTAATGTGGTCTCGGGGAAGGAGTACTGACTCTGGAGTCACAGGTCCTGGATTCCAATTCTACCTCTGACACTACTCTGTGACCTTGGGCAAGTCACTCAACCTCTCTGGGCCTCAATTTCCTTCTCTGTAAAATGAGAAATTTAGACCAGATGGCCTCCAAGGCACAACTCAGGTTAGGCTGGGATAGGAGACATGGGAGGTCAGAAGGGCCTAATCAATACTTATTGATTGGCTGGTGTCCACTGGTCCTGACCCTGGCTCCAAGTGGCTTATAAAGTGGCCTACCAGCTGCAGGTATAGTAAGGCATATCCCTTATAACTAATAATAATAATTATTACAGCTAACATTTATATAATACCTTAAAGTTTGCAACATATATTATCTCATTTGATCCCCACAATGGTCCTGAGTATGAAGTATTATTACTATCCCCCTTTTACATATGGCTGGGAAAGGCTCAGGAACTGCAGGCCCACAAGTGAGGGGCTAGCAAGTAGATGAGGCAGAATTTTAACTGAGGTTTTCCTGACTCCAGGTCCAATGCTCTGTCCACTACACCAGTTGCCTTAGTAAGGCCAAACTTCTCAGCTGGACATTCCTTACTCACAACTGACACTTAATAGTGCTTAAAAGTTTGCAAAGCAGAAAGATGGGGCAACTGAGTTATTCACTTGGGGTCACACTGCTAGTAAGTGTTCATAATAGAACTTGAGACCGGTTCTAGGCTGACCGCACGTCCTTCTGGGATTGCCTCATCCTTGTTTCCTACACATGCTGTTAGCTTATACTGTTCATCTCTCTGAAAAATTATCTCTATTCCCCTCAACTTATGTATGCTTTCCAGTTCAGCTTAAAGGCCACCTCCTCCAGGAAGCACAAACCAATGGATGTCTCCTTCCTCTGACTTCCTAAAATTCTACGTGTGCTGTTTTGCTTCATGAGTGATTCTTGGGTCTTCTATTAGACCACAGGCTCCCCAGAGCTCAGGAAGGACTAAATTCTATTGCCACTTGGCTCGAAGCCCTGCTCTTGAGGGGGAACATGGGACCTGTGATGGTACCTTTCCATTGGGGTCCTTGGGTTGCAGGCCAAAAGCTCGAATGATATAAACACGGACAAGACACTCCTGGGGCCCCTGGGCAGGCAGCTGGTAAAACTGCCTTGGGGGCAATGGGACAGCCGGGTCTTCTGGAAGGGGATATATTTTGAACAGTCCCTGCAAAGAGACTGGAGTTAGTTCTCATCAGCACCATCAGCACCCTCCCCATCATCCTGTTTGCCAACACCTCCACTCCCCTATCCACACCACTGAAGTCACTATTATTAGCAACATCACTATGCTCACTGTACTTCCCTCACCATGGGAAGTGCCACCACCAACCCCGTTCCCACCATCTCTATGACCAGTGTGGGCACCATCACCACCATCCTTATCATTTTCTCTAACCACCACCAACCACCATCATTACCATCACCACCAACATCCTCATTACCACCATCATTGATCTCATCGTCATGACCATCACTACCACAGTCATTGATATCTATTCTTGTATTCATTCTTCCCCACAAGACCAGAGACCCCCATGATACTTAATACCCAATCCTTGACCCCTTAAACACAAACTCTGAAGAATTCCAGGCCTTGTTACCTTGAACTCCCCAATTACAGATGGGTCTTCCATCTCCTCTTGGCATTTCCCCCGGTATAGTTTGAAGGTGTTACAAAAGTCAGACAGACCCTCAAAGTCTTCCACATTCTCCAACTCAGTTTCATACACCTGCCAAATATGGTGGAGAGAAAAGAGAGGGAGGAAAAGGTATGAGTAAGAAGGAGGAGAGGAAGAACAGAATGGAAAGAGGAGGAGAGAGAGGGAAGCCAAAAGGAAAAAAAAACAGGTAGGGGGATTCAAAGGCAGGAATGGAAAAAGAAAGAGAGGGAAATGGAAGAGAGAAGATAAAGGAGGGGGAAAAGGAAGGGAGAGGGGAAGATGTAAGATCAGAAAGTATGAAGAAGGAAGAGAGGGAAAAGAGTTTGAGAGATGGAGGAAGAAGATGAGAGAAAGATAGAAGAGGGAGGAGAGGCAGTCGAAAGAAGCAGAGGGCAGGGTGTTTATTCCAGAAGAATAGAGTGTTCTCTTTAAGGAATTATTTGAATATTTAACATGCGATAATATTAAAAGAGTACAAGGCTCAGGCTGACTTTGATGGGGATTTGGGACCTTTGGAGTCCACAGGGAAACCTATCCACTCTCCTCATCCAAGTGCTACCCATTCCTTAAGGTCCCACTCAAACATCAACTCCTACAAGAAGTCTTTCATGATTACCCCTGTCTACAGCGATCTCTGGTTTAGGCTCAGTGTCAGGCAAAACTTTCTGACCATCGGGGCTAGCCGTGTGGTAGTTTTCCTCTCATTTTAGGCCTTCGGGAAGGGGCTGGATGACCACCTGGCCAGGGTAGGAGGCTGACCTCTAGGGGTGCTGTAGAGATTCCTCTAAGATCCTGGGATGTTCTATAACTCTCACGGCCGAACCTCACATTCTTTTTCCATTGTTCTAATCCTAATTATCTCGTGGGTATATAGCTTTCCCATCCTCCAACTTGACTTTGAGATTGCCGCAGGCCAGGGACCACCACGTCTCTCCCTCCTCCTCTTAGCCTCACTACGAGGTTGAATCCCAGACCCAGCTCGAGGAATCCTCAGTGAGTTAAAGGGACCCACAGCAGCTCAGTGACACAAAGAAGTGCTCACCTCCAGAGTGTCAAACCCCTTCTCCAGGTAGGATCTACATTTTTCATTCTCTCCTGTTGAGGCATAGAATTTACTCCACCAATCGATGAACTCCTCCTCCTGAACAGGAGACCAGGTTTGTGGGGTGGGGAGAGAGAAAGATGGGTCAGGAAAAAAAGCACGCCAAGCTGAGTTTCCAGTCCTGCTCTGAGGACTGAAAAAAAGCAAAGCAAGAAAGCTCACCCCCTCGGAGAAGCCCTCCCTGATAACAACTGCTTACATTGACATAGGGCTTTATCAGCTCCAGAACCCTAATGAGTGACAGACTCAACCACATGTCTTCTTGACCAAATCTACCTCCTACCTCAAACAGCCCACTCTCCTCAAGTGTCCACATTCCCTCAGTACCATATTCTATTCAGGCAATACCAATCTATATTTCATGGCGCCATATTGGTTGTACTCATAGATCATCAATTTAGAGACCATGGAAGATGCATGTCTTAACCTCTGAGATAGACTGGCAGCTCCCAGAATAATAATAATAGCTAGCATTTATATAGCACCTACTACGTGCCAGGCATTGTGCTAAGCACTTTACAAAGATGATCTCATTTGATCCTCACAACAACCCTTTGCGATAAGTACAATTATTAGCCTTATTTTACATATGAGGAAACTGAATCAAATAGAAGTTAAGTTACTTAGCACAGTGCCTGACACATAGTAGGTATTTAATAAATTCTAGATGACTGACTGACTGGACATTCCAGGATCTTCTTCCCAGCTGATCCCCAGCACCTCCAAGGTCATTCCAAAGGCAGGGAGTGGAAGACACCAGGTGGACCGATGAGCCCACCAATCAAGGAGGTGCCCAATAGCGGGGCCCTCCCTCACACGGCTCTAGGGGAGGAGGAGCAGATGAGGACAGAGAATCTACAGAGAGCATCTCTGTCTGCTCCACTCACCAGAAGGGTCTTCTGCAGCACCAAAGAAACAAGAGATTTAGGCAGTTAGATCTGGAGCTGGGGGCTGCATTTGACCTGCCCCCAAAGTTATAAAGCAGCAGACGACTGCAGCTCTGGGGTCAAGAATCAGTTACAAACATGCACCAAACCACATGCACAGATGGGCACATTAGTGCACGCAGACAGAAACACGTAAGTACAGATAAATGCGTGGAGAAATCTGAAGCACACGTTCCCCTCTCAGAGCCTCAGTTTCTAGGAATAACTAGCAACTTTTTTGACCTGGATCTAAAGTGGGGGGGGGCATAGCATAATGAGGTCCCAGGGAGTAGTACGCTGGAGGAGAAGCTGGCCCACCTCCCCCATCTCAACTCCACGATCCTTTTTGCCTGCTTCCTTGCCCTCTCCAAATCCCCAAAGGAAAAACTGAGGCTCAGAGGAGAGTAGCCCACTCACCATCACACAGCTATTAAATGGAAGAGGTGGGATTCAAATCCAGGCCCTCTGACTCAGGGTTATACACATATGGTGTACGTATGTATGTGTGTATATACATGTGTGTATGTGTATATGTGCACATACACACAGATTGTATCTATACATATATTTGTGTATACGTATTCATGTATATACATGCAAACATATATATACACACACGCACATATTTATATACACATATGTACAAATTTATGTGTGTGTACATGCATGTACATATACATGGGCGTGTTACTGTACACACATATACATGAATGCACAAATAAGTTGTCCACATGTAGATCATTACATATGTAGATATACATTATCAACATACACCCATGCCAACACACAAAAACACACACATCTCCACCCCCAAGTAACCATGGCTACCTGTGTCCACATACAAATACACAGAGAGACACACACACACACAGACAGGTAGACCAACACAGGTCCCTAACTGGACGCTCTTTTGATATCCATGCGTGTATCCCCTCCCTCCCAGGAGAGTCAACTCTTGATCAGTGATTCCCAACCCAGGGCCAACCCCAGTCATCTCATGAGTCCATCCCACTGAAGGACCCAGTCTAAACAATGAGCAGATATACCTTCTGTAAAGTGAATAAATCATGCCTTGAGCACGTATGCAAATATTTCGAAAATATCTGCAGCTGTGTTTAAGCTCGCCCCCAACAGAATGCAAACTTCTCAAAGGTAGGACCGCTTTTCCTCTCACTTCTTACGTCCCCAATGCCTTGGATGTAGTAAGCTTGTTGAATTCAATGTGTGTCGAATCAAACCGAACTCTTTTAAAGCCTTATCATCGGATTTTGCAATCCTAGTATTACAGGATGGCAGATTTAAAGCTGGTAGGGACGGCACAAGTCATCTCATCCAACCTCTAACTACCTATGAGATCACCTCACTTTCCTGGGTCCTCCCTCCCATCCTCCTCCCTCTTTACCCTTCTCCCTTCCTTCCTCTCTTCTCCTCTGCATCCACCATCTTTGGCAGATGTTTGACACTAAGACCAAGAAAGTGAAGTCATTTGCCCAAGATCACCCAGAGATCAGGATCTGAACCCAAGTCTTAAGGCTTCAGATCTAGTGCCCCCTCCACTATGCCACAAATGTTAATAATGCAACTGTCATGTGGGGGCCCTCAACATCCTTTGACATTAAACATGGATTCTCAATCATGGAAACGTTGGGCATGACCACTCGAGGTCCATCCCCTAGCCAAGTGTTTGCCTTTCCACTGGCTGTTGGCACAGACCCCTCACACCTCCTGGAAGTCTCTGTTGACATCCCTCTCTCTGCCTTCGCTCTGGCCTCCAAACAGCTGGAGCTGGGAAGATGAACCTTTCAAGGCAAAACACTTGGTTACCCCCGACAGTCCCAAGGGAAAGCAGCAAAAAGTGGAGCGAGAGGACCAGAGCCTGAACATCTGAGGACACTCTTGGTCTGTTTTGGGGGAATCAGTGGACGTGAGTCTGGAGAAGCGCAGAATGGGAGGTGGAGAGAAGAGATGGGCTTCTTGAGTGGGGAGTGGGAGAGAAGAGGCAAAACCAAAGGACGAGCCCCTAAAAATCAGGTCATGGCCCAGCATCCTGAGAAGTGCAAAGCCCTTCCAACCCCTCCTCACAAGCATTGATGATGGCTGGCTTCCAACACTATTGTAGAGAGCCAAGATTAGATTTGCACTGCTTAATAAATGTTTACTGACTGACTACGTTATCTCAGAGGCCAGAACGTGAGGGAAATCAGAGGAAGCTGAAAAGAGGCAGATTTTTACTTGATGTGAATGTAAGCCCAGACCCAGAGAGTCTCATTCCAATGAGCTTTGGAGCTGGGGTTGCAGAAGCAAAGCCTTCCTTCTGGGCTGCCTGCCCCATTAGAGGATAAGCTCCTGGAGGGCAGGGAATATCATTTCTCCCAGGAGAGTGGTGGAAAGAGCATTACTTCAACTCTGCACCCTCAGAACCCACTATAAGCCAGGTGCAGTGCTAAACGCCTTACAGTTATGATCTCACCTGATCCTCACAGCGGCCCTAGGAGGTGGGTGCTGCGACTGTCCCCCATCTTAGCTCCAAGTGTGAAGATGTCTATTGTCACCTACCCCTAAAATCCAGCCTCAGTTTGCCTCTCTGCAGCTTCTCTGGGTGCTCCTGGTTCTGGCCTCTAGGATCAAGCGGAAGAAAGCTAATCCCTCTTCCGTGTGCCCCAGGCTGGAGCAGATGGCTGCCGAAAGGAATCCCTTTCCACTTTGGGATTCAATATTCTGTGATTCTGTGGCCTTTCCTCGAGAATGATGCTAAAAATCCCAGCAGGCCACCCCCACCCCGGGTGCTTTGCCTTCAGGGCGACTATTAGTGGCCTGGTGTCCTGGTGTTGTCCAAGGTCCCTTCCAGCCCCCAAACTGCCTGAATTCTGGAAAAGAGGATGTGTTCTGTCTATGGGATGGGATCAATGGGGCGAGTGTGGAGGCAGGGGGAGGGACAGGATGACCCTTCCAGCCAAAGGCTCTGGAACTCTGCTCTCGAGGAGGCAGGGGTGGGGAATGGGGGTGAGGAGTTCAGGCCAGCTTCTCCCCATCGGGTCTGGGGCTCCTGCCAGGCGACAGTCTCACCCTGAGCCTTCCCCGCTGCGGGGTGTGCTAGGGGAGAAGGGGTGGGCCCCCCCAGGAGACCACAAGAATGTTTGGGGGCAGAGCTCGGGGGAGGGGCAGGCGCCCGGAGCCTGCTCCGGCCTCCAGCAGCAGGATCCAATATCGGCATGGACTCCAGCTCCCCAGAACAGGAGAGACCGTAAAGTATGCGCCCGCATTATTCCAAATAGCTTACAGACCCGGGCTCGGATTCCCTTTCCTCCCCTCCTGCTCGCCTCCACTTGTCATCTGATGGAGGATTTGGATTTGCCACGGATGAGTCACCGAACACCGGGCCAGATTACACGCCATGATAGGCAGAGGGGGCACGCCGAGCGGGCCAACCCGCCCAGTCAGAGCATCTTGGGGAAAGACAGCGCGGCCGCTTTCAGGTCCTGACTGAGGCCATCATGGCCAAATCGAGGTCTGAAAGGGGCCTGCTTTCATCAACAGAGCCTTTGTCAGGTATATGCCAGTGCACGCAGAGGGTGCGAGCCTCAAGGTCAGGAAGGACTGGGTTCGAATTCTACCCCCCCCTTTACTGACTGCGGCTGACTTAACCTCTCAGCGCCCCCAGGGGATTCCCAGGGCTCTAAATTACAGCTGAGTTGCTGATATGCATCACTGGAAGGAATTTCCACGCTGGGGCTCACTTTCACTGATGCAATCTCAAGTCTAGACTAGAAAGTGCCATTGGGTGCTGCTAGAATGCTGCACAATGCCTGCTTCTCCTCAACACTCCTCTCATCTTTGGGGGTGTTACTGGGAAGTCACAAGACTTTTTTTCAGTCTTCTGAAGACCAGTTACGTGGCCTCACCATGCCCCACCACTCAGACGTCTCTCCTACAGATCAAGGCCAGTCTGGGACTCGTCTGCACTATCACTAATTTCCAAATTAGCTGGCTCTGAATTAATGACATTTGGACGTCAATATTGTTGTTTTTCAGTCATGTCTGACTCTTTGTGATCCTATTTGGGGTTTTCCTGGCAAAGATACTGGAATGGTTTTGCCATTTCCTTCTCCAGATCACTTTACAGATGAGGAAACTGAGGCAAACAGGGTGAAGCAACTTGCCCAGGGTCACACAGCTAAGGAAGTGTCTGAGTCTTCCTGAGAGGAGTCTTCCTGACTCCAAGCCCAAGGCTCCACCCATTGCACGTGGATGCTGGGTGACCTGCTGAAATCAAGCCTTAGTTAAAAGCGCATTTGGCAAAGGACTGTTGTTAGAAACAGTGTTTTCTCACCCACTGCCTCCAGAAAAAAAGACTGTGATAAGTCACTTATACTGTCTGAGCTTTGGTTTCCTCATATGGAAAGAGGGGTGGGGTGGCCTTTAAGGTCCCTCCTAGCTCTAAATTTATGACTCCTGAGACCAATCATGGATGTACCTACAGGAATCTTTACAAAGAAGGTCAAATAGAAAGAGGAGGCTGGAGGTGGTTGCTTCTCTAGGAGGCCCTCCCAGATTGACTGTCCATTCTCCATCCCATTGACACTGCTGACCAGCTGCACCCCCTCTTATGGCCCTTTTGTTATCACTGCTGTGTCCCTATCAGCTCCAGCCTTGTCCAGCATGCCTACTGTATCAGGCCGGGGACCTTCTGGAAAGCACAAACCCATGTGTCCCCAACAAACAGGCAGCACCCCTGGAGCCCAGACACCTCCTACTTTGCTTAACTTCAGGGTCTGGTTCTTCTGCATGACTGTGGGTGAGTGATAACATGATAATCACTCAATCAGCAAGTATCTACCAAACACCTACTACGGGCCAGGCACAGGGACAGAGGCCAAAGAATCAAACATTCCCTTCCCTGGGAAGTTTACATTTTGTTGGGGGTGTCCAAACATAAGTATACTTTTTAAAAATCAAATGCAGGCTCCCTGAGGCCAGGCACCGTTTTTATTTGTACTTCTGTAAAAGCCTTTGCTCTTTAAGCCCAGATGCACAGGCCAGTGGAGCTCTGGCTCCACAACATTGGTCCACAGGAGAGCTGGCCCAGAATAGAGTGTGGCTGATTCTGAGCCTGATACCAGCCTCACTCCCTCTGGGTGGTAGGGAGAGGGAAGGAGCCTGGGGGGCTGGGGAGGGAGAAAGGAAGGGAGGAATATTAGTGGAGAAAACAGACTTGCTCGTGTCTAAGTGTGCCCCCCATCTCTCTGCGCGCTTGCCCCTCAAGCTGCCCACAGGACGCACACACCTCCACCCAGGGCCGTGGTCTCTCCGAGCTGACAACAGCTGTCTCAGGATTGGGGCAGAGCTGTGGAGTTGCGGGGACTGTGGGGAGGCTGAAGAGATTGGTCCCGAGAACTGCCCCTTCTGAGAAATCCTCCCAGATCCGCAGCCGCTTCTGCGGCCCAAAGCACTCACTGACCCGCTGCTCCCCTGCTGGTCCTAATTAGTGTGCTTCGAGAGAGACAGAGCAACCCTCGGAAGGAGTACCAGACTTGGTTTCTGAAAACCACAGCCTCAGAGCCCTGCGTTCTTACTTGTTGGCCGTGGGACGACTCCAGGTAAGTCACAGGACCCGAGGCCTAGAGCTGAAAGGGACCTCAGAGGCGGTGAGACCTTCATTTGACAGAGGGGGAAACTGAGGCCCAGACAGAGGAAGCAAATGCCCCAGGTCACACAGGTGACAAGGAACAAATCTGAACAAATCTAGTGTTCTTTCCACCGAACCTTGTGCTTTTATGAGTCCAGACTTTGTCTGCTGATTCTTCGTCTATAAAGTGAGGATAAGGGGCAGCCAGGTGGCACAGTGGATAGAGCACTGGCCCTGAGTCCAAATCCAGCCTCAGACACTTACTAGCTATGTAACCCTGGGCAAGTCACTTAACTCCAATTGCCTCCCCCCAAAAAATATGGGAATAAACACTACCTATCTCTCCTAGGGTCCTAATGAGGAAAGTACTTTATGAATAGGAAAGGGCTATAAAGATGGGAACTATATATGATCATCACCTTTATTATCGTTCATTATATAACAATTATGTCATTTATATTAGTATTATTATAATTTTACCTCTTATTTTAAAACTCATTTATAAGTTTATCTGTCCTGTCTCTGTCACTAGACTGGGGAAATCCCCAAGAGAAGGGAGCCCACCTACCCCATCAGACTGGGAGCTCCCCAAGGGCTGGGGTCCCGTCCCTCCCTCCAATGTCCTAACTAGCCTGGGGCTCAATCCGGAGCTAGATATAAGACTAAGGAGAAATGGGCTCTGATCAAAGCAGAATTTGTCCAAAGGCATTCTCCCCCGTCCCTAAGAATCCCACTGAGAACATCCGTCCACCACGCTGCTGAAGGTGAGGGAGGCTGGTGGTCCTTGCCCCTCCCAGTGACCCCTCCTCCTCCCTTCCATGTCCCTGTCCAGTCACCTCTCTGTTACCGGTTGGGTGATCTGAGAGGCCACCAAGCAGTGTGAGGATGGACCCTGACCATCAAGCTGAAGGTCATGAATTAGCCTGCTGGACCCAACACTTGCTGGGAGGCCCTGAACAACTCATTGTCAGGGCTGGAAAGGACAGTGAGGTCATCTAATCCAACTTCCTCCTGCCTCCGTAGAATCACAGAATGTGAGAGTTGGAAAGGATCACAGAGGTCATCCAGTCCAGCTCTCTGACAATTCACAGATGTTGATATGACTTCCTCGGACCCTTCAGACGGCAAGTGTCAGAGGTGGGATTTGAACTCGGGTCCCCTGACTCCTGAGCCAGTGTTCTCACTGGACTCTCTATCTCCCTTTACTTCAAGCCTCAACTTCCTCATCTGTAAAATTTTGATAATGACATTTATGTGACCCACCCTGTCCAGGTTGTTGTGAAGGAATTATTAATGAAGTAGTACATGAGTAAAATTAGGGTTACTGTATCGTTTTTTGTCCTGGTATTTCCAGCACCCCACTCAGTGCCTGGCACATAGTAGGGGCTTAACAAATGCTTGATGAATTGCTGGATTGAGGAAAATCCCTTATAATCTATGAAGCATTAAATAAACATGTTGTTATTATCTTCATCTGCATCCTGGCCTTCCCAGCTGTCAAAGTCTGATTCTAGCAGGGCCCCTGAGACCTCTCAAGGCATCCTGCCTCGGAGGTGAGGGCTCTGGGTCTATAGACCCATTGTGGTACCATTTTGAGCAAAGCACCACGGACAAGCTGCCAATGAAAGAAACCGCAGAACCTACTCTGAAATCCCCTGAAGACTGGCCACGATTTGGGGGCTTATCCATGTTTTGAGCCCTTCCTACTACTGCACAGATAATCGAGAGTTGGCTGAGGTCAGTTGGACTTTAGGGAGCATCCACCCCATGTTACCCCCACTGAAAAAAGGGTTAACAATACCTACTTGGACACCAGACGAAGAAGACGACAAGTCAATGGGGGCTGAGCCAAGCATACCATCTGCAAACTACAAATTAAACAGGTAAGTTAGCAATGCAGTTAGAAAGACATGCTCCGGGGATCAGCGAGGGCAACCTTAGAGAAAGCAGGACTCATCCTCTGGACCAGCCATGCCGGCGTCTACCACTCCCCACACGCATACCCCACACTATGGATAGCACGACCTAGACTTGTTTCATGCCTGTCTTCCCCATTAGAATGTACGCTCTTTGAGGGCAGGATCTGTTTGGGCCTCCCTTTCTAACCCAGCACTTAGCCGATGCCAGGAAATGCTTTAAAGATGTCATGTAACTGACTGATGGACTTAAAGGAAGGAAGAAAATGAGCATTTAATAGGTGCCTATTATTTGCCAGGCACTGGGCTACGCATTTTACAAATACGATTCGTTTGATCCTCATAATGATTCTATGAGGTTGATATCATTAAGATCCCCATTTTATAAATGAGGAAACTGAGGCAGATGGAGGTGAAGTGACTTGTCCAAGGTCACGCAGTTAGTAAGTGTCTAAGGCTAGATTTGGACTCAGGTCTTCCTGACTCCAGTGCTCTCTCCACTGTACCACCTAGCTGCCTCTCAGTTTATTGGTTTATTCACTCATTCATATTAATATAATAATAGTTAGCACACACCATAAAATACCTTGTTTTTACCAAGTGCGTTAAGGTTTGCAAAGTACTTTATAAACATAATCTTATTTGATCCTCACCACCACCCTGTAAGGTTGTTTCCATTTTACAGATGGAGAAAGTGAAGCAGACCTAGGTTAAGTGACTTGAGTAGGGTCCCGTAGCACGTAAGTGTCTGAAGCAGGATTTGAACTCAGGTCTTCCTGATTCCAGGCCCACTGATCTACCCACTGCACCAGCCGGCTGTCACCACCTTTAATATCCCCTAGCTATGTTTACTGTTCAGAAGATCTTAGACCTAGAGACCACCTAGCCCAGATGCCCCTCATTTTACAAATGAGGGAAGTGAGGCCCGGGAGTTAATGCAAGAGATCAGAGCCGTAAAGACTCAGAGGAGATACTTGAGCCTGGTTTCTGCTGACTCTAAGCCCAGCGTTCTCTTCGGTACACGCCACTTCCCAACCAGCAGCGAAATGAATTCTATGTCTTGACCTCAGTCACTGACAAAATCACCACCAAGGGCAGGAAGATGCTCCTCCCACCTGTCAGCTGCTTCCTGATACCTGGTCCTGGGGGGCCATCCCCAACCCTCCCTGCGTGGAATGTTCTGGAGTGGTGAATGGCTTGGAAGGAAAAGACTCCCTCCATATGGAAAGCGATGGATCTGTTGGCCAGGATTTGTAGCTAGAATTCTGAAAAGGAATTTTGTCCCCAAACACTGGGATCTGGGGACCCTCCTGGGAGACGGAAGGAGGGAGGGGAAGACAAGTCTCATGACGTTCTTCTCTCCCCAGCAGGGAGTGGCACAGAAAGCACTGGGGTGGGAGGGGAATACCCACTGTTGAGCTCAGGCTGGGGAGAGAAAGTCAGGGAGGGCTTGGAGAAGCTCAGATTGGCGGAGCTGGATAAGATTTAATCCCCTAGTCTTTTCCCCTCCACTCATTTTACAGAGGAAGAAACTGAGGCTCAGAAAAGTGAAAGAATTTGCTTTAACAAGTAAAACAATTAGATCACTGAATTTAGAACTGGGGGATATCTTCAAGATAGTCTAAACCATTTGGGGGATCCTGGACTCCTTTGGCAATTTAATGAACCGCTTCTCAGAATCATGTTTTTAACAGAATAAAATGAAATACATAGGAGTCCAAAGGAAACCAGTCATACTGAAATACAGTCATCAATCCAAACTCCTGGGTTGCTTCAGAGCCTCTGGTCCAGGGGTGGGGAACTTGTGGCCTCAAGGCCACACATGGCCCTCTAGGAAAAGGGCTGCACTTGAGGACCTAGAGGACCACATGTGGCCTCAAGGCTGCAGGTTCCCCACCCCCGTGAGTCTGGTCTAATCCAATCTTCATTTTACAGGGAGAGATCAGAGTCCCACAGGGAGCACAGGACGTCTCCAGCATCACAGAGCTAATAAATGGAAGCTCTCTGATGAGTCGATGAGGTGAATTCAGGCAGTATTTGGGGGGCCTGTGAGGACACCAAGTAGAGGTACAGTATAGTGGAAACAGTGTGAGTCTGGGAATCAGGGAACTTGGGTGGCAAGCCCAGACCTACTACTGATTGACCTTAGGAAAACCACCTAAGCTCTCCTGACATCTATAAGACGAAGGAAGTGAGCAATGCGGTTTATTGGAAAGACGATTGAATTTGAAGATGAACTGGGTTGAGATTCTGACTCTTGTGCCTACTCCCCTGGATGACCTCGGACTGAGCCTCAGTTTCCTTGCCTGTAAAATGAGGAGACCAGACTAGACTAGATGGTTTTTGAGGCGCCTTCTCCCTCTTAATCTCTGATCCTGTCATTCAAATCTGGGCTCTGCCCCAAATTGCCCAGGCGACTTGGACATATCTCCGGCCTCACTTTCCTCTCTGTAAAAGAAGGTCCTGGAGGTCCCTCCAGAGCAGTAACCCTCAAGACGGTGAGAGGGGAAGTGTTTTGTCAAACCTCAGAGATCAGACTAGATCATAATAATGATGAACATTTGTTTAGCCCTTTAAGGTTTGAGAAGGCCTTGACATACAGTATCTCCTTTGTTGCTACCACAAAACCCACTCTACAGATGAATGAGCAAGCTGAGAGTCATTAAGAGATTTGCTCAGGGTTGCACAGCTAGGTGGAACAATGAATAGAGCTTTGATTCTAAATTCAAATCAAGCCTCAGGTATCTGTTGAGCCTAGGCCAATCACTTAACCTCGGTTTCTTCATCTGTAAAATGCAGATAATAACAGCCCCTGCTTTCGTGGGTTGTTGTGAGATGCAATGAGATAATATTTGTAAATTGCCTCGCCGTCAGGATTACTAAACCGCTGAGGCAGGATTTGAGCCCAGACCTTCCTGACTCCATGCCCACTCCTCCACACTGCTACTTTCCAACTCCAAAACTTAAAGTTAAAATCACCTTTCAGCCCCTCTGAGAGCTCCCGGAAGAGTTGGAATCCTGGGCAGGAAGGTTTTAGGGGTGGTTTTTGTGGGTCAAAAGCTCTCCTAGGATCTCAGATCTAGAACGAGCAGTGACCTAAGAGGCCATTTAGCACAATCCTCTCACGTTACAGATGAGGAAACTGAGGCCGGGGATGTAAAACGCCCAAAGTCGCAGAGGCAGCAAGGATCAGAGAGAGAGGATCAGCCAGGGCTGGAGGAGCTCACGCTCTTCGCAGATCTACCGGTCAGGGTGTCATAGCAGATGGAGACCCGAGGTCCGGTCCCTTCCAGCAGAGTGACCGCAGAGGCAGGGGTGCCCAGCCGGCTCCACCCTGCCCCACCCACCTCCATCTCCAGACTCGGAGCAAGCCTCCGTGTTTAGGCTGAAGTTTGTCATGCTTTTCTTTTTTAAGGAAGGCCAGAGACAGGAGGAGAAGGTCACGGGGAAAGCAAAGAGGAAGGAAAGAAATAGAACTAAACACAGGGCTGACAAAGGTCCAGTCCAGCTTCCGAAATTACACGTTCCCATTTGGGATTCAGGAAGGCACTGGATGTAGTGGGGCCTGGGGAAAAGCGGGTGAGCGCTGGCCGCTCTAACAGGAGCCGTTCTGAGGGAATCATCTCACGCTGGCAGGGACCTGGGGGCCATCCAGGCCCACCCCAACCTAAACAGGTCCTCTCTACAGCGTCCTCCGATAGAATGGAAGCTCCCCGAGGGCAGGGACTGCTTGCACCAGTCACCGAGCCTAGCACATAGAGGGCACTTTCCTATCTTCTCCCCCTCTTCCTTGCAGCGGCAGGGCGGAGGATTCGAGAAGCCTCGATGCTTAATTATTCCTTGAGTTAGGAATGGATTAGGGTGAGAGACCTCTCCTCCCACCCCCAAACCCCCCAATTCCTGCTCAGCTGGGAAGCAGTGAAGTAGTCTGTGTAAAGAAGCTCTCCTGCCCACTCCACCAGCCTCCCTCCCCATCCCTCTTCTGCTTCCTCCCTCCTGGCTTCTCAAAGGCTGTCTAAACCCCTCCGCTGCAGCTCGGCCCAGCTCCCTGTCTGGGCGTGTGGAGGGGATCTGCTGGCGCCAGCGGGGACAGGGGCGCGGCCAGCCCGGGAACCGTCTGCCCACCACATCTGACCGGGACTCTGGTCGGGATGCTGAGGGGAGGGCTCCTGCCAGGACATTCTAGGAGCCCCACCCCAGGCCTTCGGGGCTTGCACTAATAGACCTTAATGAAGAGCAGGCCTGGGGCAGGGGGAAGGAAAAGGAAAGGGGGGAGTGTCACCCAGGCATGCCACTAGAGAACACCCCACTGCCTTCCCCCCCACTGTCATTGGGGAGACCGCCTGAGGCTCAGAAAGTTCCAAGGACACAGAAAGAAAGACCGCATCAGGAGAGATTTTGAACTCTGTATGTATGTGCACATCTGGCTGTGTTCCTATGGGTGTGTGTGTATACATTTTATTCATCATCTTCTCCATCAAGACAAAGGATCACAGTCCTAGAGCCACCAGGACTTCAGAAGCCATCATGAGTCCAACCTCCCCTTTTTATATACGGGGAAACTGAGGCACAGAACTTCAATGACTTGCCCAAGGTCACATACTGGATCTAGAGCTGGGAGGAGTCTTAGAAGCCACGGTCTGACTCATTTAACAGATGAAAATCTGTAGCCCAAGGAGGAACAATTTGCCAAGGTCACACAGGTCATGTCAAAGGCGAGATTTGAACCCAAGTCTTTTGCCTCCATAACCAGTGCTTTTTCCATTATTCCAGGCTATTAGAGTGAGGGACACACAACATGGTCCGGAACTCCCACTCTGAGATGTATGCAAATTTTAAAGGGCTCTCTCTCTCTCTCTCTCTTCCCCCCCCCCCATGGCTTCTCCCAAGCATGTTAACACCAGACATGTCCTCCTTTCAGCAACTACCTCTCTCCCATTCTCCCTTCCTTC